AAAACCAGGTTTGGGGAGGAAGGGAGCATCACAGCTCTTCACAAATACCCGAAGGGTTGTCCAGGTGGTGAGGGGTTGCCGTTCTGCTCTGGAGACGAGGACCTCAGTCCTGGGAGGTTTGCTGGTGGCCCTGTGCAGGGGTGTGGTGGGCTGTCTGCAGAGCTGGTGGGGTTCCCAACTCTAGAGTTTTCACCTGAGCAGTAGGGAGAACTACTTGGTAGATTATTAAACATCAGGTCGGCTGTGAGCCTAGAAAATCCTTAAGCTCCTTTTGGACCTGGGACTTAGTTAATGGACTTTTTCTAAGATAAATTGCCATTTACCACTACAACCCTTGTTTGTAACTTTTATAGTCGTGAATGTGAAGCCCGTGACAGTTCCATGCCTCACCCTGGGCAAATGCACTTTATGTGGCGTGGGGTCACCACCGTTGATTGATGTATTTGCGTTTCTTGTTTACTCACACACTCCTGTATCGTAAGCCTGAATTTTTATGATCATGTTTATATTGGGGAAAATATGTTTATCTTAGTAGAGTACCTGGATTGAAATCCAGATGGAGAAGAAACCTCCTACTCGTGTTGGCCCTGTGACTGCCTTCTGGTAAAAGGACAGGGCTGGAGGAGGGAGGTGTGAAGCTGGGCAAGAAGGGAAGGAGACAGGAAATGTTACCTCCTGTATGTAATTTTGCCTTTATGATTGAAGAAGGTTTTCAAATTTGCTTTTCTTGTCTTGTGTGAGCTTCCTCTCCTCTTTTGGTTTCTGGTCTTACTTTTCTATTCTTGTTCTTACAACAGTGACTTTTTATTCTTTCCGTGTGATCTGTACACTTTCACCAATAGGCAGCGTTTTGTTTATAGCTTCCACTTTCTGCATGGCTTTTACTTTCCTACCTCTGTTTGGGCTCTGCCACTTCCATGCTTTGTGACCTGGGGAGTGTTACCTGTGTGAGAGAGAAAAAGAAAAAAGCTTACCTAGTGAGAGAGAAAAAAAGCAAGGGGATGTTAAGATCTCTTTCTGGAGCCGTTACAAATATTAAATAGTTTAACTTAAATTAAAATTAAAAATTAAATAAAGTTAATTATAATTTAAAAATGAAATATTACAGGTAAGTGTTAGTGTTGAGAAGAATACTTGGCCCCCAGGAGGTTCTAGCTTTCCATCTACTTACCAATCAGTAACGTTTCTTATTTACTGACAAAGAACATCTATTATATAATTGTTAATTTAAAAGCTAAAAATAGAGCTACCATGTGATTCAGAAATCCCACTTCTGGGCAAATATCTGGAGAAAACTCTAATTTGAAAAGATATGTGCACCCTAGTGTTCATAGCAGCACTATTTACAACAGCCAAGACATGGAAGCAACCTAAATGTACGTTGACAGATAACTGAATAAAGAAGCTGTGGTATATATACAAAATGGAATACTACTCAGCCATAAAAAAGAATGAAATAATGCCATTTTCAGCAACATAGATGGACCTAGAGACTATCATACTAGGTATAGTAAAAGTCAGAGAAAGGCAGGTACCATATGATATCATGTTTATATGTGAAATCTAAAAAAATGACACAAATGAACTTACTTACAAAACATGGACCCACAGACATAGAAAACAAACTTATGGTTCCCAAAGAGAAAAGGAGTGGGGAGGAATAAATTAGGAGTTTGGGATTAGCAGATACAAACTATTATGTATAAAACAGGTAGACAGCAAGGTCCTGTACAGCACAGGGAACAATATTCAATATCTTGTAATAACCTGTAATTAAAAAGTGTATGAAAAAGAATATAACTGAATCACTATGCTGTACACCAGAAACTAGCACAACATTGGAATTTAGCTGTACTTCAATAAGAAAAAATTAAGGTACAACTCTTTCTAACAAGACACTGATTTCACACTCTCTAGCAATCATGTTGTGAACTGCGGTGTCTGGTGCCCTGGTTTGGTTTGTTAGTGCTGAGAATTCATTTATTTCCTTCTACCAGCCTCGACAGTTGAAACCCAAGAGAGCTCTTGGTTTCGTGCTTATAATTCTGCCCACAGAGAACTAGAGATGCTCACTTTCTATGGTTGGCTTACGTTTGTGGAATTTCTTCCTCTCCCTGACTTTCTAGGACACCCATTTCCCGACCTAGAAAGCACGGTGTTCTTTTAAACGGCTGTCTTATTGATTTGCCTACATGCTTTTTGTATCTGTGCCTGGAGGCACAAGGAAAGTACCTGGAAAGCTGATGAAAGAAACAAATACGGGTGCATTGAGAATCCCGGAGGCTGGGATCAGAGCATTGGCACCTTGGTTAGGCTTGAGGGCTGTATCGGGGTAAGACTGGACCTGGGGGTACCACTGGCTTGCTGAAGACAGGCTAGAAGAAGACAGAGAAGGGGAAAAAGAAAGTGGAGACAGTACAAGAAGGGAGTGGAAAGATGAGGACGTGAGTATGACAGGGACCGACTGGAAGTGCGGCATGGCGGGAGATGGAAGTACACACCTTTGTACAGGTGTGTGTATTTGGACAGGATTCTACAAACATGGGGAAATACATGGAAGGACCCAGAGCAGGATGTTAATGTGCCTGGGGGTGAGGGGGGGAGAAGGGGCGAATAAAAAGAAAAGCAGCTTGTAGAAAATGACCTCATTTATGTAAAAAGGACATATACATGTGAAAAAAATGGAAGGAAAAGAAATCTCTATCAACTGAGATCGTAGGGGTGCCCATGGGAGGTTGTCAATTGAAAGATTAAGTTGGGAAGGTCGGGGCTGGGGTGGAGAGGAGCTTGGAAGTAGCTGCAAGCTCTTGGTGATTTTTCAGTCCTTTGTTTTTCCTGTTTATTATATTATTTTGTTTTATAACATATGTTATAAAACAAATATACACATGTGTATCTACACATATGGTATATATACACACATACATGTATAATGCATGTACAAATGTACATATATATGTAGATGTACACACACATGTTCTTTTGAATGTGTGAAATAACATATTCAACAATCATGCAGGACAGACGAGTGGGTTGCCATGTAACGTGTTGTAGCAGAAACATAACAGCAGTCTCCTGTGTCGTAAGTGCGTGCACTTGTATGTGTTTGTATGAAGCAGAGGAAGGTGTGGAAGGAGGCTGTTAATGTTGAATCCCCACTGGGAGAGTTGGGGCCAAGGCAGGACCCTGTTACTTTTAAAGTCTCCCATCCCCCGTGCCTAATAAATGCATTCACAGCAGCAGATAAAACTGTTAGCCTTGAGTTGAGTGGTTTACTGGTGATCTGTGCATCTACTTGGATAGAAACTTAAATACTCTATTAAAATTCAAACTCTGTGGGGTCAGAAATGACATTGATCTTCATCATGCATTTAATCATTATTCATTCGTTCATACTACAAATACATGTGAAATGGGTTATATATATATATATATATATATATCAGGTATTACCAACCTTTTCTAATATTTTCTTCAGTGCCTAGCACATTTGAAGTTTTTTTTAAAGTAAAAATATAGGGTATTATGAAAGTTCATCATAGAAGGACCTAATCTAGTGGATCAGGAAGGCTTCCTGGAGGAAGTGGCATTTATGCTGCAAATTGAAGATGACAAGGGAGTTAGTTGGCTGAGACTGGGGGAAAAGTCCACATTCCATGAAGATGGGAGTATGTGCAGAGGCCCCAAAGCAGGAGAAAGGAACATGGTAACATGAGGAACGAGGACAGTGTGGCTGCCCCCCAGGGAGTAAGAGGACAAGTGGAGGTGAGGCTGGAAAGGTGTGTAGGGGTTAGACCATGCAGACCTTTCAGGCAGGAATAGAATTTCCTCCAACTTTTTATTTTGAAAAATATCAAACCTATACAAAAAGTGCAGGTGTAGCAGAGGGGATCCACCTAGATTTTCAGATTGCTGACATTTTGCCATGGTTGTGTGCACTCTCTCTTTTACACATACACACATTTCTCTCTTTGTTGAACCATTAGAGTAGGTTACAGACCACATGTCACGTTAAAAAGCTTGACATGTTTAATATTGTGTATCTTCCAGGAACAGATTACTGCTGGTATAATCACAATGCTAGTTACACATCCAAGAAAGTTAACCCTGATCAAGTATCTTTACCCAATATATAGCCCACATTTAAATCTCACATTGTCTCAATGTTCTTTGCGAAAGTTTTCAAAATCCAAGACTCAGTCAAGGAGCATGCATTGCGTCTAGATAGCCATTGGCATTTTAGGGGCAAGTTTAGGCCAGTTACTTTGTAGAAGGCCCATCAATTTCAGTTTTGCCTGTTTATTTCCTCTTGATTGAACTCAGGTTGGACGTTTATAGCCAGGATACTGTCATCAGGGCCGAGGGAGGCCCTGAGAACTGCCTAACCTCAGGAGCACTTGCTATCAATTTCCATATTGATGATGTTAAATTTGATCACTTGGTTAAAGTGGTGTCCACCAGCATTCTTCCTCATACAGATGAAGTTTTCCTTTGGAATAAATAAAGTAATCTATAGAGAATGGTGCCTTAACAATTCTGTAACTATCTTGTTCCCTAACAGTTTTTCATTCAGTGATTTCTAGCAACCATTGGCGTCCCTTGCCCAAGATGATTATTACTCTGGTGAACATGAAGTGGTGATGTTTAAATTGTATAGTTTTTTCATATGTTACTTGATGTTCTTCTGTGAAAAAGAGCATGCCTTTCCCTTTCACCCTTTTCCATCAGTATCAGCATGGACTTGTGGGTTTTTAAAATACGAATTTAATGTTTAAGATGTGTTCATAATCCATGCCTAACAGTAATCATTTTGATCTTACAATTTCCCATATTTGTCTAGCAGGAGAGCCCCATCGGAAAGGTTTTTGAGAAACAGTGTCTGGCCTGAGCAGATGAAATGACAGGAGGAAAGTGATGAATGAATGTGTGTTTACCACAGTGTTTTCTTGTGAGAGCTCCACCTGTCACTCTAACATGCTTTTCTTTTTATTTCTCTTTAGGTCTCATGGGCTAACGGGCTCTCATTCAGCAGGCACCTAACAGACAAGTCATCCAGCTGCGTATCAAGACAATGCTCGGTTTTAAAACTGCTCTGAGAGTGATGAGCAGTGCTGCCCAGTGACTTTGTCCGGGGGCAGCAAGCAGCTTGAGTGTTTCCTCTCCACCGCATAGCAGCTTGAAGGAAGCCCCTTCCCATTCAGGAGGACTGCATGGCAGGCAGCCCCCGCTGAAGGCTTGGAAATGAGCGTCCCAGCGGCTCCTAAGAAGTCGTGCTACACTGAGTTGCGGGACAACAGAAATGGAGCAAAAAATAATAATGAGAGCATCCTGAGTCTGGGGGACACCAATGCCAACCCCGTCATGTGGGGGGTCAGCTCCTCTCATGATGAGCCGGCGACTTGTGACCGGACAGATGAACTTGGAAATGCAAATGCAGGGGGGCCAGAGAATGGTACCCGGGTCCATAAGGACTTTCAGCCACTTCAGAGCTTTGGGAAGGGGCCTCAGGCTGGCCCCACCAGCCTGAAGGATTTAAAATTTCCTCCGACAGCTCAGAGCGAACTGAGCGTGGAGTCCACGCTGGAAAGAGGCGCAGAGAGCCTGCAGACCCCTCGGGGTCTCCACGGCCCAGGCCGGCCAAGCTGGAGGACTGTCGGGGGCGAGGCCAGTCCCGAGGTCTCAGCCAGGAGGGAGGCTGAAGCTCCCCGGCATGCTCCCAAGGATAAGTTGGCCAAGACCCTGGACAGTGAGGAGCTGAGGAGGCGTTCTTTGGAGAGGGCCAGCAGCTCTGCGGTTGCAGGCGACGTGCTCGCTAAGGAGCGCCCCGGGGGCCTGGCCCGGCCACCTCCGCAGCCTGGAGGACTGGGCCCCCCAGAAGCCCTCTGGCTGGTGGCCAGTGGTGGGCAGGGGCCACAGAAGACGGGGACAGTCCCCTTTCCAGGGCCAGCTTGTCCTCCAGCTGCCAGTAACCCTGCGCGTCCTCCGAAACCATCTACCTCAGAAACCAAGGAGACCACCCCCTTAGAGGCCCGGACTGAGGGCGGGCAGGTACTGAGAGCTAGCGCCCAGAGCACAGCCCCTCCTGCCCGCCCAGAGGGCACCCCGAATTCCACTCCACTGTTGAGGGAAGTCCTGAGTAAGCCAGAAGCACAGTCGGGCCAGGGAAAGGCAGAGCCCAAGATGGAGCTGAAACTGGGCCAGCCCAGGCCCATGCAGGAGTTCAAGTCCACCCAGGTGGAGGGGCTGGGATGTCCTGGGGAGGAGGATGTGTCACCCCCGGGGAGAAAGGAGCTGCGTGGGGAAGCACAGCAGGAAGCTGCCGCCGCTGCCGCACTCAGCAGCCTGCCGCACAGCGGTCCTCACCCCCCAGGCGTGGGAAGAGGCAGGAGTGAGCAGGAAAAGAGAGGCCAGGAGGGTTCTCTGCAGACCACCCCCAAACAGAGCCCTGCTCCCCCGAGAGCTGCTGATAATCAGCCCACGGGCAGAATTTCACCAAGTGCAGCTGAGAAGCTGGGTGAAGCGGCGTCCCGCAGCATCTCACCAGGTGATGGTCACGCAGCTTTGGTTCCTGCTGATTCGACTGACAGTGGACCCTCAGATGCCCGTGAGGAGAGCGGGGTGCTGGGCGGTGGGGACAGGGATGGTGCTACAGTCTTCACTTCAGATCCTTCTGTTGGAAAGAGTGAAACTGGGGTCGCTGAGCCCCTCAACCCTCCTCACAGCAGCTCAGAAGCTGGGGAGAGCACAGAGATCACGACACCCGTGGCTGCGAACAGGCACTGTCTAGAAGATGCAGTTGAGGTGGACAGCGCCCCAGCAAGAGCGGCTTCTCTTCCCCAGGTCCCAGCGCCCCTCCACCCAGAGACCGCTGTGAACGTGGGCCGCCAGCCTCCACCAGCCAGCGGCGGCTTTCGGGACTCGGGCGTGTTGGGTGGGGACGCAGGGTCCCCCTCGGTCGCCCTGCCTCCCGCCGACAGCGCAGGGTTGTCCAACGCTTCCCCGAAAGTGCCTGACAAGCACGCCTGCCCCAGTGGGATTTCCAAGCCTGTTGTCGCCCGTCCCGAGGACACACCTGCCGCCCCAGAGGGAAGGGAGGGCCTCCGGGTTGAAAAGACGGAAGAAAGGGCAGACCCCAGGCCTGTCGTCCTGCCCAAGCCCAAGCACGTTAGGCCGAAGATCATCACCTACATCAGGAGGAGCCCTCAGGCCCTCGGCCAGGTGGACGCTTCGCTGGTCCCCGTGGGGCTGCCGTATGCCCCGCCTGCGTGCGCCGTGCCTCTCCCCAAGGAGGACAAGGCGGTGAGCGGGGACCTGAAGCCGCCTGCCGGCCTCTACGAGAAGTTCAAGCCTGACTTGCAGCGGCCCCGAGTGTTCAGCTCCGGGCTGGTGGTGTCTGGGATCAAGCCCCCTGGACACCACTTCAGTCAGATGAGTGAAAAGTTTCTGCAGGAGGTAAGAGAATGGCATCGTGACACCGTCTCCAAGTGACACTTCCTCAGATCTGTTATGCATTTTTGATGAATTGGGAAAACAGAATATCCTCTCTCGGCCAGTCGCAGACTGTGACGGAGACACTCGTGCAGCAATGGGTATTTTTAACCAGGGGAGGTTGTAGGCAGATGGACAGCTTTGATTTAGAAGAGTCTGGTGGTCAGGATGAGAGGGCCTCTGACATCTGAGGAGACTCATTAAAATTCTACCTGACGTAACACGTGAAAGGTAGGGAAGCGTGCATTTGACCTGGCTTCCTTGTTTCAGCAAGCGAGCATAATTCTTCTAGAAACCAGGCCAATGCAAAAATTCCAAAATAAATATACCATTCAAATGGGTCAGACTTGATCTCTATGCAGACATACCAAGAGCACAGTGAGTAGGAAGCATGTTAGGCCTCGGCTCCATTTTAAGTCAAAACAATAATTACAGCTGGCATTTAGTTGAGTGCCTACTGTGCACCGGGCCCACTTGACATCACATTTAATCTTTGCCAACCTTCGCCAGTCCTTGCAGTGATTCTGTGCAGGGCAGGATTGCAGCTCTCCTCACTCCTCTCCCTGACATGCTTCAGGTCTTCCCAGGCCACTCGGAATGTGGGCTGGAGCCCAGAGCCTGCTCGGCCATCAGGATGCACTCAGTCTGGCTCCTTTACCTCTCGACCACCTCTCCTTCCTTCACTCTCCCTCTGCTGCCTCAGGGCCTTTGCACGTCCCTCTGCTCAGAAGGTCTTCTTCCAGATATCTGAATGGCTCTCCCCTTCGCTTTCTTTAGGCCTCTGTTCAAAGACACTTTATTGGTGACTTTCATTTGTACACTTTCTTTAGATAAGTAATTTAGTACCCCTTCCCACCCACCAAACAAACAAAAAACATCCCCTAGATTTTTCTCTGCAGAAACACACTTGTGAGAGAAACTTTATTGGAGATGTAGGCAGAAATCCTGTTAGTATCTGCAATTCTTTCTCTGTGACATTTCTGAATTTTTCTTGGGTATAATTCCTTTCTTTATTGCTGCTGCTTCCTCCATAAAATACAGAATAATTTCTATGTTAGATGTACATTCCTCCCCACCCCATGTATTTTTTATTCTTAGTCCTCTAGAAGCCACCCCGGATCTCCAGGAAATGGGTTGGTGTGAGTGTGTAGCTTTAGTAGTTCTGAGGAGTTCAGGGAGACCCTGTTGGTGTCGGGGTAGCAGTGCTGCTGTGTGCCAGCCACTCTCTCTGAGGACCATTTTCAGCCACAGTCAGAGCATCTGAGGCCCAGGCCCTTTCCTCAGGCTGCAGGATAGAGCAGAGAAGCCCCAGACATTGCACTGGGCAAATTTCTGATGGCATCTTTAATCAAAAGTGGAGAATAGGCTGGTTTTTGGCCTTTCCTCCCATGGCTGTGACTTGATGTAACCCAAAGAGTCCCCTCCTGTGTTCAGCCTCTGGAAGTGGCTCTGAAGGTAATCATGAATCTAGTCATGCCTTGATGGTAAAATATGCTTACTTGTTTGGACTGCTTTCTGCTTTCAGCTACCCTGAGGCTGCAGGGGACTCCCTCCTATCGATGCTTTGGGGGAACCCTTTTAATGATTGGTGGAAGGAGGTGGGAGGCAGGGAGCAGGGGTGAGTGGACCAGGTGAGGCAGTGTGCTTGCAGTATATGGGAGTGTGATTAGGGCTGGACTCCCCTCCTCCTCCCTGGAACCCCCTCATCTCTGTAGGACACTGTGTCTCTCAGGTTCTCCAGGGAACCAGGTCATATATACAAGTATATATGTATCTCTGTGTGTATCTATCTATTTTCCTATCTATTGAGACTTTAAGGAATTGGCTCACACAATTGTGGAGACGGCAAGTCCAAAATATGCAGCGGGGGCCAACAGGCTGGAGACCTGGGAAGAGTTGATGTTACAGTTTGAGTCCAAAGGCCATCTGCTGGCAGATTTCCCTCTTCTTTAAGGGAGGTCAATGTTTTTCTATTAAGGCCTTCAACTGATTGGATGAGGCCCACCCACATTATGAAGGGTAATCTGCTTTATTCCAGGTCTATTGAACTCAATGCTGAGCTCATCTAAAAAATACCTTCAGAGAAACATCTAGAATCATCTTTGACTGAATGTGTGGATCGCATGGTGTCTTAAGTTGACAAAATGAGCTGTCACAAGCCCTCTCTGTGCAGCTATGCCAGTGGCTTCTCAGTGCAGCCTTCACATTTACCCCAGTCTCCCCAGCCCACAATCCCCTGAGAATAGGACAGGGCAAATAGGAAGAGGGGTGATCCAGTAAGAACTTACTTGTTTGTGTGCCTCAATTGATTTTAAGAGTTTGTTTGAAATCACAAGGATTCTTTAGTTGGCTTTCAGAATTATTTCTCTAAGAATACTCCATTAGAGAAGGTGGGAAGAAAACCCATTTGGGGTTAAATCTCTATGTGTTTATGACTGTGGGTGATACCTGTTGTGTTCTGTCAGTAAAGATGAAAGAAAAGAGTGTGAAGCTCTTTGTAGACGCTCTTGTTTTATTAAAAATGCACAGATTAAGCATCCGAGGCATGCTTCTCACCTTTTTAAAGAATTTGTTATCTTGCCAGAAACAAAGTACCCAACAAAATGACAGGCCTTGAAGTTCCTGAAATCATGAAGGTCGTTTTTGAATGATGGCCTGATAGATTTTGCCCCCTGAAACCTATCCAGTTTGAAAGAACTGAGTAATTACTGAGATAAGACATTGCAGTTCTAACAACCTGGCAGACATAGGTTAGAAATGATCATTATTTCTTCATGGGAGCACCTGCTAAAAGCAATGAGCAGTGACCCCCTAAAATTTAGGCACAAAAATTAAAAAAGAGAGGAAATAGGACTATGATAGAAAAGCCAAAGATTGATAGTAGGAGAGTAAGTAGAAAATGGTGAAAATTTTATCAGAGCAGCTGTGGAATGCTCTTTCACAGAAGTGTAATTTGCTGCGGCCTGAATTCCATCCATCTACTGTAGGAATCATGCATCTTTTACAGTGTGATACGATAAAACTTTAAAGGCCTTATCTTTTGTTTCAATAATGTCAATTTAAGGAGAACTTTGTTATCCATTTCAACATTAAAACAGTATTAACTTAAGGGTTTATCTCTTCAACAGCCTGGATCAAAGCTCTGTAGCCCCTGTTAAAGAATATTGTTAAATGCCTGTGATTCCTGTGTGGATGGAGGCAGTACATTGACATATACAATGTATTGTGATTTACCACAGAGTTAATTACTGTGTGTATCTTTCCCTACGTAGCCTCTGACGCTATGTTTTTTTTTTAACTTAAAGGAAATAAGATTATTTCGTTGTCTTTTTCATTTTTAACATTGAGAAACACTGATACTATGAACAGGCTTTGTGAGTACAGAACTGCATACGTGGAAGGTAGCCGTAATTGTATTCTAAGCCAAACTGTTAGCTACAGGAAACAGTAACATGTTATGTTGTTAAGTTTAGGAAAGTCTGAAACATGATTCCTGTATTAAATAGATGTTTATTGATTTCAGCCCTGTGCTAGACACTGTTCTAGGCGCTGTGAGTTCAGCAGTCAGCAAGACTCTGCCCCCAAACTTCCATTCTAGTGAAACTTGCTCAAACATCCCTGGAACCACCACCTTCGTAGGGAAGACAATCGGAGGTAATTCCTAGTCTGTCGTTTTTAATTGTGTAAACAGAACGTAGAGGCCTGACAACGCATCTTTTCATTGACTTCTCTATTCTTCCTAATAACCTTTTCTCCCTCATTAACCATGCATATTTTAATTTCCCGAGTTGCCTAATAAAGACTTAACATAAATGGATGAAGTCCATCAGCTTCTTGTAAGACTAGGTCGCCATGAAAAGTGTGCCTTTCCTCCTTAGGAATAATGAAACGTTCATACTTCTGTGAACATTTGCTAAATTCTTGCCTTGCATCATTGACATTGCTTATTTATAGGCTGACTGCTTGCACAAATTCCAATGATTCTTTGTAGCGATCAAATTTAAAAGTCTTGTAGAGGGAGTTCTTTCTTCTCCCAGCGAAATGTAGATCTATAGAGCATTAGAACCAGCGTAGACCTCAGAGAGCACCCAGTTGTTGTCAACACAGAGATGAAGACACTGGGGCCCAGAGAAGGTAAGTGATTGTGAAGGAGCAGCTCGCTGGTGCCAGCGTGGTCCCTGTTGGTGCTTCGGTCTCTGGAGCATCTCACCACTCATCCTGTGCCATGCAGTTCTCTGACTGAGCTTCCGGTCCTTCATAACAGGTTACAGAACACCCTGGAAAAGAAGAATTTTGTTCTCCTCCCTATACTCACTACGAAGTTCCTCCAACCTTCTATCGATCGGCCATGCTCCTTAAGCCCCAGTTGGGATTGGGCGCCATGTCTCGTTTACCATCTGCAAAGAGCAGGATCCTGATTGCGAGTCAGAGGTCTTCGGCGAGCGCCATCCATCCACCAGGACCCATAGCGACAGCTGCCAGCCTCTACAGTCCGGATCCTGCAGGTAACCGATGCAACAGTTAGCGCGCGTTCCTGCCGTGCTGTTAAATAGTGATCATGAAAAAGGGTGGTAGCTCTTCTGTTCTTCATCTGATCATAGATACAGATGTTTGTCAAGATGTCTGTCTTCTGTCTGCAGCCGTCATCCTCCATTTCACCCTTAAAATGATGGCCCTTGTGACTGCCGCCTCACCTCTTGTAGTTTCCCCATTCTGTGTTGCATCCTGTGGACTAGGGTTCAGAGACTTTTTCTGGAAATGGCCAGATATTAAGTATTTTAGGCTTTCTGGGCCATAATGCTCTGTGTTGTAACTATTTCGCATGAAAGTAGCCGTGGACAATATCTGAATGCCTGGGTGCGGCTGGGTGTCCATGCAGCTTAATTTACAGAAACAGACACAGGTGTACCTTGGAACTACTGTGGGTTCAGTTCTGGACCACATGAGCTTTTTTTGGTTTCCTAGTGCTTATAAAAGTTATGTTCACCTGCTCATGTAGTCTATTAAGTGTGCAATAGCGTTGGCTAAAAACGCAGCACATCCACCTTAATTTTAAAATACTTATCAAAAATGCTAACCTTCTGTAGGTCGTAGTAATAACAACATCACAGATGACTGGTCACACATCACCGTAACAAATGGAGTCGTAACTTTAAAAGGTTGAAATTGTGTGAGAATTACCCAGATATGACCCAGAAACACCGAGTGAGGCAATGCTGGTGGAAAAATCTCACCGACAGATCAGCTGGAGGCGGGGTTGCCACAGAACTTCCATTTGTGAAAAATGCCATGTCTACGAAGTGCGGTGAAACGGGGGCTGTCCGCAGCGGGCTGGGTTTGGCCTGGGGGCTGTAGTTTGTCAGAGAGCTCTTCCTGCCATATAGCAGTGACCCTGTCATGCTTTTATCAGCTCACAAATCTTGAACCCCTGATAACTTGCTTATAGAATGGCCCTGCCACCCATCCCAACCATGTCCCCCTGCTCTCAGTGGCTGCGTCGTCTCCTGATGTCCTCTGCACGTCCCTGTTGTCCTCTCTCCATCCATTCTTCTGCTCTTGTGTTTGTCTGTAGATTTTATGTATTATTTTATTATAGAAGTAATACAAGCCCATTGTAAAAAATTTGAATATAGAAAAATATGAAAAAGAAAGTAATTGTCCTTATATTTTTTAGCACCCAGCGAGGATTAATATTATGGAAATTTTTCTTCCAGTGTGTTTCTTCCTATGCATTTTTTAATAGCTGAATTAATACTGAATGCGAATTTTGTTTTTTCCTACTAATATCATACTGTAGGCATTTACTATGCCATCCATGTTTCACAGAGATTTTAATGGCAGTGTAAGATTCTGTTTTGTTCACTTATTCATTTATTTAACAATTTCTGGGTACTTGTTCTGTGCCAGAAGTTGTAAATCGAGGACTGAGGACTGCAGTGACTTAGATGCTGTTGTTTCTGTGTCTGAGTGAAGGGAGTGAAACTTGCTAGGTTACATAACTCACGCTTGTAAGCTGGGTGTCCAGAGAGCTGAACTCAAGACTCTTGTCTCTGGGTCCCCCGTGGCAGACTGCATACTTTGACTGCCTGTGTTAAATCTCATGATACTGCAGTATCTTTAGTTTATAAAATAAGGAAAAGACCCACATTTGTAGGTTTTCTGTGCCTTAGAACAGGGGTTGGCAAACCCTAGTCCAGAGGCTGGCCAACTGCTTCTGGGAATACATTTAATTGGAAGACAGCCACAGTCATTTTTCCCTTTCGTCCCTGGCTGCTTGCAGAGTTGTCATTGCAACAGAGACAAGATATTGCCCAGAAGCCTAAAATATTTACTGTCTCGCCCTTTAAGAAAAAGTTTGCTGTTTCTTGCCTTAGCATAATGCCAATTACCATTTAGAGTGGTACCATTCAGTCGGCAGAAGTATATGAAAAAGTATGTAAGATTTCGAAACTCTTTGGCCCAGGAAAGTCCAGGTCTGGGAGACAAGGTGGATTTTAATTTTATTGATGTGTTTTATCAAACTTAGTCTATTTTCCAAGGACATCCTTTGGATGGTTTTCTTTCCTGGAGAATTCAGCCTACCCTGCATGAGGCGCTAGGGGCCGTGGCGGAGTACTGGGGTTGTGGGCACTGAAGCTTCAGGGAGTCTGAAGTTCGTGCACCTCTGGGGAGTCACAGAAGCAAAGATGTGTAGACACCAGATATCAGCTGAGCTACCGAATCCTTTGGCTGAGATGCTCAGCAGAGAATCTAATGAGGAACCATTAAAGGAGACTCTAGGACTGTTCTATCTCTTTTCAAGACCCCTAGTTTCCTTAAGATGACTTTAAGGCAGTGGAGTTAAGAAGTCTTGGCTATTTTCTTTTCTAAGAAGCCAGTCCCCAAACAATAGGAGAATAATGTAGCATTTTAATGAATCTAGAAACATCTGTGTATCTAATTCCTACAAATTGATAAATGCAGAAAACACTTAAAGAGGATGCCTTCAGCTGCAGGCGGGGACAGGTCAGCCAAGCCCACAGAACAGGGGTCTCATGGTGGGGAATCCGTGCTTGGAGCAGTGGGGTCCGGTTCCGGGGAGGAGTTGAGTGTCGAGGGCCTGATTTTCCCACAGAACGGCAGGGGAGGCAGGGCTGAATGAGAAAACAGGCATCTTTACAGCAAGCAGTCTGTCGGGCTGGATGTCATGAGATTCTAGAATTCAAGGAGCCCTGCAGCTGCCTCATTTGTCTGGAGAGAAGCGGGTTAACAGAGGAGCCCTGCACACACACACACACACACACACACGCACACGCACGCACACACACACACTCTCTCCCTCTGTCTTTCTCTCTCTCTCTCTCTCTCTCTCTCTCACTCTCTCTCACTCGCCTGTCCCGAGGTTCCTGGCTCTGGAGCAGAGAGAGATCCCTCTCTCTTTGAACCCACCTCTACCCATCCTGGCACGAAACACAGAGGGCCTTAGGGGCCCTGGTCAGGAGTTTGGATTTTAATCCAGGATGATGGGGGAGCCCCTGGAAGTTTTAAACATGATCAGTTTATGTTTTACAAAGATCGTCTTGAGTCACCGGTGCGGTATAAGCTATACACGTGAAAGTGGGAGACCAGGTTGGAGCCGGCGCACTCGGACAGGAGAGAAACGCTGGTAGGTTAGCGGGAGGAAGGGCTGGGATGGTCGCGATATGTTTTAGAAATAGAGCCAGTAGGACTGGACATTGAGGTGGGGGATGGGGAAGACAGAGCCAATGAGGACTTCTAGAATTTTGACTTGAGCACCTGGATGGATGGTGATGCCATTTATTACGAGAGACAGTTTGACTAGCCAGGGAGTGGGGGAGAGCCGAGGCCCGGGAGGAGGTACAGAGGCTTCTGTTTTGGAAGTTCTGGTGGAGCTTATCACAGAGGCAACTTGAGATGTGAGTCAGGGGCTGTAAGAGAGGTCAGGGCTGGAGATTGACATTTGAGGTTCGCCAGAGGAACCGAAGTCAAGAGACTCAAATGCATATTTGAAAGTAGCCAGGAGAGTGGATCTTGAACATTCTCATCCCAAGAAAAAACATGTGACTGTGCATGGTGACGGATGTGGACAGTAGTGATCATTTTGCAAAGTCTACGTTATACACATGAAACTAATATACAGGCATATCTGGTTTTATAGCACTTGGCTTTATTACACTTCACAGATGCAGCATTTTTCACAAATTGAAGGTTTGTGGCAATTACATCGAGCAAGTCTATCAGATTCGTTTTTCCAACAGCATTATTTTTTAATTAAGGTACATACATTGTTTTTTTTTAAGACGTAATTCTTTTGCACACTAAGAGACTACAGTGTAGTGTAAACACAACTTTTGTGTGCACTTGGAAACCAAAAAAAAACCGTGTGTGACTCGCTTTATTTTGACATTCAATTTTATTGCGGTGGCTGAACCCGCAGTATCTCTGAGATGTGCTTGTCATGTATGTCAATTACACATCAATAAAAAAAGAAAAGAAAAGTCACGGGGGCGTAGCTAGGGAGCACACGACATCCCAGGATGGGCGCCGACTTGCCGGCACTTCGAACTCTAGCAAGGAAGACTGGGAGGCAGCAGCCGGTGTGGCTGTGGCCGGTGGGGATCCGGCAGAGCAAGGTGTCCTGCGAGCCAGGAGCGCCTGGTAATTCTGTATCCCATGGAGGAACGGGGTAATTTGAGGCCAGAGAGGGATCAGTGAATTTGACAGCAGGGCAGCCTCTGATTATCTTTTACAAGAGCAATTTGAATGGAGTAGTGGGGACAGACGGCTGATTCGCCAGATAGACAAAAGGAAGTTGGCACACCAGTGTAGCCAGCTTCGCTGAAGGAGGTCTTCAAAAGCTTGAGATGTGCAGATACTAACTACTGTATATAAGATAGACAAAGAACAAGTTTCTACTGTGCAGCACAGGGAACTATGTCCAATATCTTATAGTCACCTATAGTGAAAAAGAATATGAAAACGAATATGTGTATGGACATGTGTGACTGAACTATTATGCTGTACACCAGAAATTGACACATTATCAACTGACTCTACTTCAATTAAAAAAAAATCTTTGGGGGAAAAAAAAAGCTCAAGGATGACATGGGTGCAGATTTAGGAGGAATTTGTCTGCATATCCCCTTCTCTTTGCTTCGCACATTCTCACTGCCGTGGACTCTCCAGACTCTGATGTGTCTGTCTCTCCCTGTGATGGACCAACTCCTCCTTCCTGTGCTGTTCCAGGGAAAGTGCCTCCAGGGAGTCAGATGGGCAGTGACAAGGCTCACTACATTCGTTTTCCTTCTCCAAAGGATCGCAGTCCCGTGCTGGCTCTTGTACAATTTCTGAAAACATTAGTTCCATCTATTTTGTTTTATTTTCTGATTGGCAATTAGAAACTGGCAAGTTTCGTATGGATTAGACCTTTATGGGTGGAACTTCCTTTACATTTTGATTAGAGATCGTTAACATCAGACAGTGTTTGTTGTGTCCAACACAAAAC